AAAAAAAGTGAAGCAGAATCGCTTTTTATAATAAAGCGTTCGCTTTTTCACTTTTTTCGCTTCTTCGCTTTTTTGCTTTTTCTCGCTTTTTTTTCGCTTCGCTCACGTTCGCTTCGCCTGGGGTCCTCCAGGCGAGATAAGCTCGCCTCGCCTCGCTTCTCGCCTAGGCGAGCGCCTAGGCGAGCTTTTCAAAACACTGTCTATAACAACATGAAAAGTATCATTAACAACAAAAAAAATGCATATAGGAATCCTAAATTCACCCATCATCATTATACAGCAGTTATATAATTTGTGTTACCTTCCCCCAAAAAAGAAATCAATAAGTTTCAATGGATCCCACCTTCTGAGTAATGGATCCCTTTTATGCCATGTGTTTACATCCACGGTGAATTCTCAAGCACCCAAATCCATGACTTCCTCATAACTAGGTAACCAACGGTTACATCCAAGCACAAGTCAAACACAAATTGCCTTAAAACATGTAACCACCGAGCATTTCATTAACAACCCCCCCTTCTTCTCTTTACCATGGTTCTAAAGTGATTGAACCATTTACCCATTTGTGTTTACATCTCAAATTTAAGTTCTACAACAGAGGTCTGGTTGTAAAAACCTGCCCAGTTGAAATACCAGTTAAGTACCAGACGATACATAGGCACACAGCTAAAGTAATAACAGCTTTAATCAGCCCAACATTGAGCACTTATTTGAGTTTCATTGAATACGTACTCATGCTAAAAACAGCGGCATTAAAGAGCACAACCATGTGGATTTGAAGAAGAATCGAAACAAGATGACAAGAATCCAGTTATTACTTTAATCCTGCAATACATCAAATGCAGGATCACTCGTGTGATTGCTTAATCTCATCTGAATCCAGTATAAGCAGTCTTATATGACAGTTTCAACTTCATCTGAGTTCACAGCCACTCCGTTCAGGGAATCTTCAGGTCGCAGCTGAGCAGAAACATCATCTATAGCAGAGTTCAACTGTTCAATCTTTTCAGCCAGTATTTTCCGTGTTCTCTGTGAAAGGGATACGTGTAAGTGCATTGCAGACTGAGAAGGCATATAAAAATGTATTACTCCAAATAGTTGGCTCTTGATGACCGTTTTGGTCCAAGAAACTTATGCGGGTTTGAAACGAAGTTAATAACAATCCAATGTTTTATTATCTTTAACTTGGGAATTAAAAATCTTGCAAATAACTCCGGTTAAACAACTATATATTTCAGATACAATATTATAAAAATCCAGAACTTCTATATATTTCACCACATTAGTGTCGTAATCTTGTTTACGAATGGATTTGGGGAAAAGTAATTATGTATCTTAGGATTAACTATTAATAGGATAGAACAGATGGAATGGAAACTTTACACAGCCATCAGTTTACTCAGGCACAGTGACTGAATAAAAGTTGCCAGAGTAAAGATGCTTTCCATGTGGAATGTATAGAGTATACAGTCGTCAAATCTCAATAAATGCAGAAGTAGCCCAGCAAGCAATTAAGGAATTCACAAATCAAAATAAAAAAAAGATGAGTATAAACAACTCCAAAGAGGAGGAGGAGGAGGAGAAGGAGAGGGAACAAGGAGAAAAATCCTGCTAAAAACTTTATATGTGAACCACCAACCTCCAAAGCTTTCTCTTCNGAGACTCGAACTCAAGACTTAAACCTCGCCCCTCTCTGTTCGACCACTGCACCAAGTTGGGGAAAAACTCAGCTGGAAAAAACTAAGCATACCTAGACAACAATAAGGTAAATCAGAATGACTAGGGCTATCAGCAATGGCTCGTGTACCAGTCGATCTTGCAAAAACAGAAGTAAAGAACTATCTTCAAATGGATGGAAGACTTGACAAAGGCAACCAGTTAACGAAGCAATAAGAAGAGAAATGTGTCCAGGCCATTCACAGAGGCCGCACATCAGCACCGTGTTAGCACAATATCTAAGTAAATCATCAACCAAAAAGCACATCATGATAGAAACAAGGATAGCGTGTACAGCCTTTCTCCTCAATAGTGACAATCCAAAAGTTTGCTCCATTATATTGAAGGTAGTGGTAAACTGCTAGTTTCCATCTGCATATAGGTGTGTCTTAGGCTGCAAGCCCAAAAGAAATGGCGTTTTCTGCACAAATCCTAGATCAACCTTTTCCCATGCAAAAATAATATTCACAACAAAGCTTTCCATAATACCCAATAAAGTGATTGCTATCCGAGGTCTGTGTAAAAGAAGCCGTTCCATCATACCACTTGTATCAGTGATAAATTGAAGACAAAGAAATCAACTAAGAGTTACTAGCACTCTGGAAATTTAATCAAGGATTAAGTAGAAACATATGAAATCACAATGAGCCAAATGATGTCATCTATAACATGAACCTCCGGGCAACTGCCAAGGCATGATTAGAAAAAAAGGATTCTATAACCAGTGTTATTTAAGGCATAAAGCGAACCGAAGCGAACNTATAAAAATGTATTACTCCAAATAGTTGGCTCTTGATGACCGTTTTGGTCCAAGAAACTTATGCGGGTTTGATACGAAGTTAATAACAATCCAATGTTTTATTATCTTTAACTTGGGAATTAAAAATCTTGCAAATAACTCCGGTTAAACAACTATATATTTCAGATACAATATTATAAAAATCCAGAACTTCTATATATTTCACCACATTAGTGTCGTAATCTTGTTTACGAATGGATTTGGGGAAAAGTAATTATGTATCTTAGGATTAACTATTAATAGGATAGAACAGATGGAATGGAAACTTTACACAGCCATCAGTTTACTCAGGCACAGTGACTGAATAAAAGTTGCCAGAGTAAAGATGCTTTCCATGTGGAATGTATAGAGTATACAGTCGTCAAATCTCAATAAATGCAGAAGTAGCCCAGCAAGCAATTAAGGAATTCACAAATCAAAATAAAAAAAAGATGAGTATAAACAACTCCAAAGAGGAGGAGGAGGAGGAGAAGGAGAGGGAACAAGGAGAAAAATCCTGCTAAAAACTTTATATGNTCACAAATCAAAATAAAAAAAAGATGAGTATAAACAACTCCAAAGAGGAGGAGGAGAAGGAGAGGGAACAAGGAGAAAAATCCTGCTAAAAACTTTATATGTGAACCACCAACCTCCAAAGCTTTCTCTTCATCATATATGAATTTGGGCAATTTCCTCATTAAATCCTTTTTGTCAGCTCCGGCAAGTGCCTTGCTGATCTGTAAAGAAAAACATTTCAGTACACTATGATTCTTCATAGTGAATCATATGGCTTGCTGCTTTCAAATAATAGCACACAAGGACCACTTGCCACCAAAAGTAATAATAACAAATCCATTAATTGATTACTAATCTGTATGATTAATTGAATAATAGGCACACAGATGGCAGAGAACTAGGTGGTACCCAACAATAGTCGGTCAGTGACGCACCATATGCAAATCATACCTGAGGTGCATACACACAACCAAGTGTGCCAACAATCAATCCTCCCAAAACAAACCCACCGACAAAGATGCTAGTGCTGCCGGGCCTGCCTCCGTCCCTATATTTACAACAAAGTAAAAGAGTATCCATCAGAACTTCCATTCATATAAAACCATCAAAGGAGAAAGAGAATATGGGAAGTTTATACTTTTCCACATTGTAAGCTTAAGCCATTGATTGCTGTAGTTTCAATTGAAACACATTGATCTTCGGACTTTGGCATGGGTGTAATCTGGCTGTCCTGTCCAAATCAGTGACAGAATCTAAAAGAAGTACAGGCATTGGTGAATGTGACTCTTTACCATATGCCTTTTTCCAACCCAAAACAAACAACCTTATTTCAAGATTCAAAGTGTTCTTATTGATACCGCAGGGACTAAGACTGGTATAACACTATGAGGGTGTAATTTACCGTAAAAGAGGGAAATTAAATAAAATAAAATAAACAGCTCATAACATAACACAACGAAATTCAGCACCTATATTTGAAAAAAAAAATCATCAATCACAAGGGTTAAGGGAAAAAATAATACCTATACCCTGCTTGAATTGTAAGTGCCCTTCTGGAAGTGGGAAATTGTACTTTTCCTGCACATGGACTGCATGACAAGTTGGTGGAGCCCACACTTCTAATACATTGATCCCCTGATTTCAAAGGAAAGCCTAGTATTAGATTCAACAGTAACAAAGACGTTGAAATAATTACAAAAACTATAAATTAAGATCAAAAGGATAATGCAGTCATATCCCTATCAAAAAAAAAGCAGGTTAATGCAATCATATCCCTATCAAAAAAAGAAGGACAATGCATTCTTATATTTGCTAAGCACCATTCCAGAGACAAAGATACACTGAGTAGGTGACATTTCAAGAATGTCCATTACTGTTTCTTTTTTTTATTCTCTTTTTCTTTTTTCAATTTTTTAGGGATGGACTGCGAAGGATTGACAAGCACGTTAAAGAACAATAAATCAACAAGGCTGATATAATTGTAACTGAAGATGCTGTTCAAACTCTTTGCAACTCCTAAACTTGACTGGTTCCCCGGCAAACTTTACCAACAAAAGCCAATGGAACCTTGAGCAAAGTATTTCAATTTGAGTTCTTCCCTCAGGAAAAATTACCAACAAATCAATGGAACTTTGAGCACACTGTGATCCTGAATCCACTAAATGGGACAACAACACCAGAAGACAACATTTAGCAGCCCTGGTCAAGGGCTTAAGATCAATGTAACACTTAGATCTCCGGATGTTAATTGAAACCAATATTGCCAAAAAAGCTGGAAGCATTATGCTACCTGAATACAATGTGCCCAGCAACTGCTAAGTATGTAATCCAATGATTCTTATGATGACCAAAAGATAAAAAAATCCAAAGGTGTGCCGGAGTCACTAACGTCTAGGAGAGGGTGCAGAACCTTGGCAGAAAATGGGTTACACCCGTATTGCTAGGCATAACTGCTGAAGTAATGCTCTAAGTACATTTTGTCCAGGAGGACTAGAAGTAAATATTCAGTGTAAGTGACAACATTTCACCATTGGCACGTGATGCTACGTGGTGTTACCATCCAATAATAAATCTACGACTACAAGTGGGCATGGTAAATCCTACTTTTTTATATGGGTAGTTATTTTCTTAAATGGATAGAGAAATTACTAAATTAAGTGGGTATCCACTTACCTACATGTTAGTCTGTTATTGGATGGTCCCACCATGTGAAAATGGTGACGTGGTCACCGTTACATTGAATATTTTCTCGAGGACTGGGACTCCAAATATTGACCCACTTGTCAACTACCAGAAGATTCACAACGCCATTTGATGGCTTTGTAACATCCAACAGTCTCCTGGAATCCTATTCACTGCCACTGAATAACTTGTGTCATGATAGCCACCCATACAATAACAAAACATGTGCGAATTGAAACTCCAGTGTTGTGGCCGTTATATTCAACATTCCTCTAGTTTTATTGATACCAATATCAAAGTTGGCATGCTTGTCATTCCAAATAACACAGGCAGTACAAACTACCCAATGAGGCACCTGCCTAGGTCACATCTCCTAATATCTGTATTCATTAACTTCTTTACCAAAAGGCCAAAACCCCAAATGTCCCTTTTGTTACATGAACTAGTTCGTCTTTGATCCTCCGTTCGGTTCTTGGACAGAAATCGGTGAACCAAAAATTCTGTTATCATTTGAAGCATCTTATTATTTTGAAACTTGCATGTTTTCCAAGAACCAAACAAATAAAAATGGGTGAAACGTAAATAAGCACAGTCAATAAGATATATAAAATTCCGAAATAATGTTTAAATTATATTCGATAGCGATAAGCAAGAAACATAGTACTAAACAATAGAGAGATGAATGCGAATTAAAACTAAATACCAGATCAAAGCAATAACTCTCATAATGACATTCGTAATCAGACCGAGCAAAGAAATGTAAGTGTTCGACAATTTACCAGTTGGGAGATGGATTGAAGAACTCTTTGTTAGAACCAAAGAATTTGGTAGAGCACTCATTGATTAGATATTTCGGAGAGATAAAAGCTCGGGGGGTGGAGAGAGAGAGAAATCCAGAAGATGAAAATAAAGCAGGTTATATGTTTTTTTTTTGTTCGATGAAATCGAGGCTTGCTTGAAAATTGAAATATGCATTGCGCGAGGAGGAAAAATAGAGGAAGTGCTTCGGTGGCGTGTGATCAAATAAACATAGAGTACACCCGGGGGCGGGGGCCCCGCGACCATTAAATAATGACGGTCTTATGATTGCCCACAACATTTTTAAGATGCGAGTACGGTGGTATAAGATTAATAGTTTCCGAGTCATTTATATTATTAAACCATTTCTAATGAAGATTTTAATTCAAAAAACTTAATTTAGTATGGATTTTTTCAATGAAAAAATTTAAATTTAAATTTAAATGAGAACAAACTAAAATTTAAAAGTGCATAAATATAACCATTAGATCTTTTAAATGATGGTGTAATCTCACGATTAGTGAAAAATGTAAGAATTTTAATCTCTAGAGTTTTCCTTCATTTGGTATGAATACGAGTCTAACATTGGAAAAAGTTTTGGGTGCGGCTATTTTCAACTCACAAATCTCTATTCTCACCCCATTTAATTTTTCATTATCAAACTATTAATTCTATCCTTTTTATACCCACCTCATGCTACATACACTCAATTTAATAACTAAACCAACTTTATATTTTGTCATAACTAGAGTTTCATTCCCTATCTCATCTCATGCACTTAGAAAAATATATTTTTAATATGTATTTTTTAAGTAAGATACATGTTAGTATTACTTCTCAATTTAATTATATGTTTGATTTCATATTTGTTACATAGATTTTTATTATTTTTGNCCCCATTTAATTTTTCATTATCAAACTATTAATTCTATCCTTTTTATACCCACCTCATGCTACATACACTCAATTTAATAAGTAAACCAACTTTATATTTTGTCATAACTAGAGTTTCATTCTCTATCTCATCTCATGCACTCAGAAAAATATATTTTTAATATGTATTTTTTAAGTAAGATACATGTTAGTATTACTTCTCAATTTAATTATATGTTTGATTTTATATTTGTTACATAGATTTTTATTATTTTCGCTATTATTTTGATATTTCTGTCCGACCAAACATATGATGTTTAGCATTCTTTTTTTATATTTATAATGCAATATTATGAAAAATATTATTTAGACTTGATTTGGAGACTTAATTAAATGCAACTATTTGATTGAAAGTGAATTTTATCAAATATTAAATTTATAATTAATTCAATGACTACATTTTAAATTAAATCCATAATTAAGTCTTCAAATTATACATCCCTCTATAAACTAAAATAAGTTAAACATCTCAATATGTGTTGACATGAAATGCAGACCGGATGCATAAGCATTATTTAATGCCATGTTTGGATCATTAGATAAAGGAGATAAGAATAGGATAAGATAACCTGTGTAACTANAACTATTTGATTGAAAGTGAATTTTATCAAATATTAAATTTATAATTAATTCAATGACTACATTTTAAATTAAATCCATAATTAAGTCTTCAAATTATACATCTCTCTATAAACTAAAATAAGTTAAACATCTCAATATGTGTTGACATGAAATGCAGACCGGATGCATATGCATTATTTAATGCCATGTTTGGATCATTAGATAAAGGAGATAAGAATAGGATAAGATAACCTGTGTAACTAATTTTTTGATTGAGATAACCCATTCGGGCCTATCTAGTTCGCTACATTAATAATGTAATCCAAAGCTTCGGCCTTGGCTGATGTTATCCCTTCGGTGGGACAAAATTATTGGGAAAAACACTGGCAAGATGAGAAGAGAGAAAAAATGTGACGTAGTTAAGCAGGCTCAGAAATCAATCATAAAATCTATATATATTCCTATAGGAGGCAAGTTATTTTGTTTCCCCCTCCCCTCNATAACCTGTGTAACGAATTTTTTGATTGAGATAACCCATTCGGGCCTATCTAGTTCGCTACATTAATAATGTAATCCAAAGCTTCGGCCTTGGCTGATGTTATCCCTTCGGTGGGACAAAATTATTGGGAAAAACACTGGCAAGATGAGAAGTGAGAAAAAATATGACGTAGTTAAACAGGCTCAGAAATCAATCATAAAATCTATATATATTTCTATAGGAGGCAAGTTATTTTGTTTCCCCCTCCCCTCCCCTCATTTTAGATTTAAAAATAAGAGCACAATGCATATCACCGTGGACCCCATTTCGTTCAATTAACATTATCAATATATGTTCTAACGTTTCGCAAACATAATGTAACTCGTCGTTATATTTGACTAACTACCACGGCCGGTTCCTACTTCCAAGTTCTAACCTACAATAAAACAAAATGACATTGCAATTACCAAAGGCTAAGTAAAAATTTAGATGAACCACACAACATANTGCATATCACCGTGGACCCCATTTCGTTCAATTAACATTATCAATATATGTTCTAATGTTTCGCAAACATAATGTAACTCGTCGTTGTATTTGACTAACTACCATGGCCGGTTCCTACTTCCAAGTTCTAACCTACAACAAAACAAAATGACATTGCATTTACCAAAGATTTTAGTAAGTCAAGCGAATTCCAATTTCATATCATAATCCAACTCAAATTAATCTTATAGTGATCTTGCATCAAATGAATCAAAATTTAAAATCATTATTCTTGTCAAAAATACCCAAAAAAAAAAAAAAGGGACAAAACAATCTCCAATTATGGAGTCATCTAGATAATGGTGAAACTGTAATTGGTGTAAACAGATCTATGTTATATAAAAAAATAAACCACATAGATAAGTAATGTAATAATAATTATAGAAATTAACGGACGTTTGTGAAAAATATCCATGAACGAGAAGGCTTTCGATAAATAAAAAGTAAGTCAAAGATTCGAAAACATATTCCAAGGAAGACAACAAAACAATATTCAAATAATTCAAAGGTCCATGTTGTATCTACATTATTAAAAAGAAGATTATTGAACGGTTATGAGAGCATCGGTAATGAGACAACACAACCTTTTGAACGACAAAGTCCATGTCGAACAAAACAACACACAGGAGCCAACAATTCTTAAATGATCATGTACACTTCAATAATATATTTCTAAACTGCAAGATGTGATTTAAATTTTTTTTTTTTTTTGGTCAAGAAATGCTCAGTCAGTTCCCAAAGTTTAAACAGATAAATAATAACATAAATAGGTTTTGCTGGCTCTAAAAACTAAATGACTAATACATAGATATTTAATTTATTAATTTCATTTTCACTNACACACAGGAGCCAACAATTCTTAAATGATCGTGTACACTTCAATAATATATTTCTAAACTGCAAGATGTGATTTAATTTTTTTTTTTTTTTGATTTAAATTTCATTTTCAGTTATCATTAAATTAATAATAGATCTAATAGTAGTAACTATTTATAATTAATTTTTTTAGGAGAGAGAATGAAAAAATAAATTAAACTTTTAACCTCAAGAAGATAAAACATTCTAAAGGCTCGTTAATAACTATTTATAATTAATTCAACAGATCAGGTCAGCTAACTAAATGTGAATAAGATTTTTTAGCTTAATTTTTTTTCTTCGGATAAATCAAAATAAAATCTATGANATTAATTTTTTTAGGAGAGAGAATGAAAAAATAAATTAAACTTTTAACCTCAAGAAGATAAAACATTCTAAAGGCTCGTTAATAACTATTTATAATTAATTCAACAGATCAAGTCAGCTAACTAAATGTGAATAGGATTTTTTAGCTTAATTTTTTTTCTCCGGATAAATCAAAATAAAATTACTTTTGGCTAAATCTTATAAATGACCCATAAACTATAATCTTTAATTTAAATTATTGTTTGAACATTTAATTATTTTAAGTTGGTCTTAAACTATATAATTTATTTTAATCAATCCATTCTATTAAGATTAATTGATAAAATTAACTGCTTAATGATTAATATAGTTGAGTGACAAATTTCAACAATTGGAAATTTAAGAGAGAATTTAAAATAAAGTCTATAATTGAAGGGGTATTTATGAGATTTACCCGTTATATTTTAGAGAGGAGAGTATTTGGGGTGAGGATGAAAGGGCAGTGGCCGGCCGTAAGAGTCATAGTCCCTCCCGCTCCAACTACTGCTGAGTCATTACTGAGTATTCTATTCATACCTAAAACAGAAAATGTTTGATCCAACGCTGCAGCCAAAATCAAACACAATATCAGAATACAAGTCTAACCACTTTTCNTATTTTTTGTAATGTCTGTGAGCACGGAGGCCACTAACTGAGTTTCCTGTTCTACTACTAACAAGATAGATAGAGAGAAAAAAAAAAAAGCAGCATCACACTACAGTTACACCAAACTGTGTTGAGTTTGGAAATCGTAACTTGTAAGTGCATGTGATCATTTTACCTCTTTTGTAATTTGATTTGAGTTTGGAACTTGTTGTCTGGGAGATGTATTTGGCGTCATTATAAAGTGTTCTTTGCTTTCCCGGCTGACAATCTTCATGGCAACTCTTTATCTTCAACAGTGTATAGCTATGGCTGTTGCTTGATATATAATCCAATACACTCGCAGTATCTGGCATCTTACTTGTGTCTCTAGCATCTTTATCCTAGTGTAGGGGATTAATAGAATGTGAAATGTTGGTTGCAGTTATTCGGTTGATTTTCGTCTGTCAGTTCTTATAGTTGTTTATCACGGCCACGGTTGTTATCCCCACATCGGTGTTTTAGCTAAATATTCATTTGTGGTAGTGTAACTAAGATCTGAAAAAGGCAAATCTTTAATAGCGCATTCCTGTCTACATTCTTACAGATATGACACATCATCATCTTCTGAGTGCATATTTGAAAGTCTTTCACATCAAATTTTGTTTTAGGAGACCTATCTACATCCATTTTCACTCAAGTTGTGGGACAGTTCTATTGATCTCTGTGATGATGTTTTCTTCTCTCTCTCCTTTTGATTTCTTACATATATTTTGAGGCATGTGATGTCATTCTTACTTTCATTGATGCGCAGGTTGTAGCAATAACAGTATTTTTCTTGCTATCGGTTGCCTTCTATACATTTTTTGCGCCCTTTCTTGGAAAGGACCTCTACGAATATGTGGCCATTGGTTTTTATTCCTTCTTGGTAAGCATAACAGCTGGCTGCTTTTCCTTTAAACTTGGATGAAAAGTGCACCACGATCCTTTGCTGTCTCTATTTGTGACTTATTGTCTGTGTTACTATTTTCAGGCACTCTGTGTATTTGTACTTTATGTTAGATGCACAGCTATTGATCCTGCTGATCCTGGAATTTTTATTGAAGCCGACAAGACACCAGCCATTAGATCCCACAATGATGCAGATTTTCCTGGTTAGTGATTCAACTGCACTTTTCTTCTTTGAAATTAGAGAAAATATATATATCCAAACTAGTTGAATCTCCATATGATGAAAGTTCAATGGCAATTTGATCAGTAGATTCAATTGTTGGAGCACCCATGAGTGTTCTATTTCGACTATATTCACCCAAAAATTGATCTGATTGTCCTTTGCAATCAATTACAAATGAGTACTTATGATAACAATTGAGTTGTTGATCAGCGAGTTCCCCTTGATAAGTCCAAGCTATCAGGATTTGCATTTGTTGAGGGAGAAGGCAGCATAAGATTATGTTTTGAGTACCACTCCATTATTTTGTTCTTTGGATTATTGTTTACGAGCTTTGTGGCATGACTAGGAAATTCATCTTCTCTTGAAGAGCCTGGCAAAGCAGGATTGAATAATGGAGGAAAAGCTGAAAGGCATGGTTCAAGTTGTTGCTCAAAACTAGGGGGATTCTTTTGCGGTTTTCTTGTGAGGCAAGATTGCCGCAAAGATGAAGACCTTTTACAGCTACAAACTGGAGAGGAAGATGCTTTGTTCTGCACATTGTGCAATGCTGAGGTAAATTTTTATGGGAGAAGTTTTTTGTATCTCATGCATGGTTCAAAGTCGTGGTATCGGTCATCAACTTGGAGGGTACTGATACACATCGGTTGTGACGTCGTGGTACAATATCGGCCGATACACTCAAAACGCTAGATAAAAGCTCTAAAAACATTTGAAAAAATCATAAATTTTTTTTAAAAATATAAACAGCATCATTCATGCATCATATGCCCACAATACATCAAAAAACACATTAAACATAATTAAAATGAAAAATAAGGGCGTTACCGAAAACATTGATCATTATCAGTATTCAACTAATTGAAATTGAAATATTAATATTGATATATCTAATTATTATATTAGATTTAAAAAGTACCGATTTTTTTAGGATTAAAAAATATTGATGTATCTAATCATTATATTAAAAAATATTTGATATTCTATCTTTCATTGAAGTATTTTTTATCTAAGTATAATATTTTAAACTTAAAGGGCCTAAGTAATATATGTTTATAAATTTTAGGGGGGTCTAAAAATAATTTATTAACAGATATATTTACAGTAGGGTCTATCTGTTTCGCTTGTACAAACTTTAGGGGTTTGTATATAATATTTAAAATAATAAGGGTCTAAATAATTAAGTGATAAACTTTAAGGGGTGTGAGTGTAATTCTCCAAAAAAAATTGATTTACCGACAACAAAGTCTTTTATAACTTTGTTTGAGAGTCGATCCTTNTTAGGGGTTTGTATATAATATTTAAAATAATAAGGGTCTAAATAATTAAGTGATAAACTTTAAGGGGTGTGAGTGTAATGCTCCAAAAAAAATTGATTTACCGACAACAAAGTCTTTTATAACTTTGTTTGAGAGTCGGTCCTTCAGAGCTCAGTCTTCAGACGCTGTGTATGGAGAGAGAGAGAGAGAGTGGTTTGATACGCTGTGTATCGACGATCATTAGAAGACTGGTTCGCAAANGAGAGAGAGAGTGGTTTGATACGCTGTGTATCGACGATCATTAGAAGACTGGTTCGCGACTAGTTCGCAGCAAAGAAGATCAGGGAAAAAAAATAGAAAAAGAAGAAGAAGATAAAGCGGTATGGGGATCTCTCTGATCTGTATTCAATTCTACAGGTATGTCATACAAATGCTTACAATCTTTATGGTAGTGGGCCTTTGATTTTCGGACTGGTTGAGGGCCTTTTACAGATGTGAGTCTTGAATTCTTCATCTTTTTCCTTTTTATTTTGAATTCTTGCTATTTGCTCAAGATTTTGGAGATTTTCCACAAGATTCGATCATACCAGACCGATCCCACTATGAATCGTCCGATTCATACCGAGTTGCTCCGATTTGTGCCGATACGTCCGAGTCTTGCCAAGATATCGCCGAGTCAAGTGAAAATCGGGATTTTTGCATAACGGATATCGATATCGGATCGGTAGGGGCCGAGTCGTATCGGACTCGGCCGATACTTTGAACCATGATCTCATGCCGTGTATTTTACTGTCGTATAAAATAGTAAAGAGATTTTGAATCTTATGGTGAGCAATTTTTCTCAAGTTGAAAATCAAGTGATGTCATCAAAATCAGTCATACAATATCCCTCCTTCCCTTTCTGGCCAGAACAAAAAAGAAGTGAAAGACTCAAGAATATTCTGAAGTCTTGCTTTGAATTACTCATGCTTATCTCAATGTATGCTTCTGCCTGGGACATGAGCTCATTGTTTGTGGACATATGATGTGTGAGGGAAAGGAAATAGGACAGAGCTAGCAGGAGCTGCATTTGAACTGGGTCTCCTGACTCCTATTTTTGGGGTCGACTTCATGAATCATGTTTCTCCATTGTGCACTATTCAAATTAACTCAACAAGGCCTTGTCTCCATTATGCTCTATCTAGGTTCATATTTTTCGTTAAAGCATAATGTCTTTATTTATCTCATTAGTATATATATTCAAGCTTAGAAGACTGTGCTTCCCACTTCATATTCTGATCCCAATACATACCAAAGCAAGAATTTGAGGAAAATGTTGTTTTGTAGGTGCGCAAGTTCAGCAAACACTGCAGAAGCTGTGATAAATGTGTTGATGGATTTGATCATCATTGCAGGGTAAGTCTAATCTTCAATTTCTACCCAAGTCTCCTGTCACGTGATTTTAAAATGCTCTAGTTTTTTGTTAAGGCCCAAGGGTATGTGATTTCTGATGTGATAAGTAGTTTTGTTTGCTATCCCTATGCAACATGCCCCTATTATTCATTTGATATTCATAAATATCTGGGGAATTAACAGTTACTTCTCTTCTCTTCATGCCTAAAATAACTTTTGGCATGGTGACCTGGGGCGCAGTGGCTGAATAATTGTGTTGGAAGGAAAAACTATATCACATTCGTGAGCCTTATGGCCATGAGCCTTGTCTGGGTAAGCTCAAAAAGATGCTTGGTTGGATTTTATTTCAACTTGCTTATCTTAGGCTTCATTGTCCTTGTGAGTTGTTCCCTTAAGCCCAACTAAAGAAATTGTTTTGTGGATGATGTTCGTTTGTGCGCCAGCTTTATTTCGAGTGTGGGGTGGGAATTGCTGTCCTTATTCGATGCTTCACTCATAGAAAGGCAACAGAACATCAGATAACGGAAAGGCTTGGAGGTGGATTCTCACAACCCCCATTTGCTACTGTTGTGGTATATTTCCTTCTATCCTTAATCTGTTTCCTTACGCTAATTTATCATGGTTTCACATCTTATTTTGAACTCAACACAGTGAATGTAGTTGNTATCCTTAATCTGTTTCCTTACGCTAATTTATCATGGTTTCACATCTTATTTTGAATTCAACACAGTGAATTCAACACAGNCTACTGTTGTGGTATATTTCCTTCTATCCTTAATCTGTTTCCTTACGCTAATTTATCATGGTTTCACATCTTATTTTGAACTCAACACAGTGAATGTAGTTGTATCTGCAGCTACTGTTATTTTTTTGCCAGAAAATTAACCTTATGTGGTTTTTTTTTTCAGGCCATATGTACAGCTCTTTCTTTTCTGGCCACTGTGCCTTTGGGAGAACTGTTCTTTTTCCACATAATTTTGATTCGAAAGGTTTGTTTCTTCGATGTCCTCTCCTTAACCCTCCATTCCCACCGTTTTTTTGTGTGTGCGCGTTTGTTGTTTTTTTTTTTCCGCGGCCGGGGGGCGCACGAAAAGAAAAACACATAAATATAAAGTAAAAAAGAGAAGGGTAACACATCATAATCTTTTGTTGCAGGGTATCACAACTTATGAATATGTGGTTGCCATGAGGACCCAAAGTGAACCTCCTGGGCCCTCATTGGATGAAGGAGATCAGCAGAGTTTGCCATCCTCACCAACAAGTTCTGCTGTGACTGCCATTAGTGGAAGAAGCTCTCTTGGAATGGGTTTGCAGTATAAAGGTGCTTGGTGTACTCCTCCAAGAATCTTTATGGACCTCCAGGTACTGCTGCCTTGATTTTATTTTGACAAACTGACTACAAGTGGGTTAGTGTAGACTACTTTGATTATTTACCATGAATAAAGGAAGCTAGGACAACATAAACATAAGCCAGATAATAGTTCAGATTTCTTTTGAAGTACTGTGGAGAGAGTCGAAAGCCACTGGACAAGATTACTTAAATTATCATCATCATAGGAACCTCCCTGTATATGACACTCTTTTTACACAATATTTCTATCTGTTCCGCTTTAGGAATTGTTTGTCTGGTTGTTTCTATTCTTCTATCTATTCTTAAGGGTTGAAGTTGGACTATCCAGTGGAAAAAATCTGGGTCACTGTCATTTTGAATATTACATGCTCTTTTTTCAATGACTAAAAGTTAGTGCAGCNATTCTTCTATCTATTCTTAAGGGTTGAAGTTGGACTATCCAGTGGAAAAAATCTGGTTCACTGTCATTTTGAATATTACATGCTCTTTTTTCAATGACTAAAAGTTAGTGCAGCTGCCACTTCATGATGCCAAGGTTATTGTTTACTATATTTGGAGGATCATGATTCCTTTCATGTGCATTTGCATGCACCATCTTTTGATATCTTTTATGTTTGTGATAACTTACAAGGATAAAGTTTTTATATTGAAACTTTTGTGTTATATAACCAGGATGAAATTATCCCTCATCTGGAGCCAGGCCGCTTGCCGTCCACTGTTGATCCAGATGCAATGCAGCCACCTGACAAGGGGAAAAAGTTGCCCCAGCGTCCAGTCCGTATCAGTGCGTGGAAGCTTGCAAAATTGGACTCTAATGAGGCAGTGAAGGCGGGTGCCAAGGCTAGAGCTTCATCATCTGTTTTATGTCCAGTAGGTTCCAGACATCATCAATATGATGCTGATCATTTTTCCAGTAGCAATGTGAGTGGCAGAAGCAGTCCAACCAGCACCAATCATGGATTTCATGAAAGAAATGCCAGAGCAGGGACATCTAGGTTATCTCCTTCAAAGAGTTCATACCCACCGAGTCGGGCTAGCAGGGACGATACTGAAACGTGTGGTCACAGCCTTAGTAACTTAAGCAGTCCTCATCCTTCTAACCTCACCCCTTCTCCATTAGAGCAGCCGGCTTCAAACAGAGATCATGTCAACCCTGTATATCTATCCTCAACAGATCAATCTCCTCGGTCAGCAAAGGCAAGTGATGCACATCAAACTAGAGTTAGCGATTTACCAATGAGGAGAAATGTGGGTGCTGCAGAAAATTCAAGGTCTTCTGTGTTTTGGGATCAAGAAGCTGGGCGCTTTGTCTCTGCAGCCACCAGAAGTGTTGGTTCTTCCTCTCATGTATCCGGAACAGAGCTTACATACACAGGTCAATCTATATTCTTCGGGGGTCCCCTTGTGAGTGAAGAGTCGAGCAGAGGGACAAGAATTGGCAGCTCCCTGCCTGCTGGTCCTGACAGAGGTTCCACGTCGAGTTACTATCAACAGGGTAGGTCACAAAGAGGCGGCCAGCTTCCTGTGTTTGTTCCAAGTGATTCCCAGCAACACTAGGTGGAAGGCAATTAAACTGAGATGGCACACAAACCAATTTGTTCCTCCAGAAACATAGAGTTTAGATTTTAGATTTCCACTTCCTGAAATTTTTGTTTTGTTTCTTAATCTGGTGTTGCTCTTACTTGTCTACTCTACGTCACCGTGCTCTTACTTGTCTACTCTACGTCACCGTGGTTTAACGAAAGAAAGAAACAAACGTATCGATGCATTTTCCGTTCATCATATGTAGCAGCTTGCCTTTAAAGTCCACACTTATCATGACCTTCACCGTCACAGAAGCCCTCCAAAGAGTGTCTCTACATCCAGGTAATTAATGCACGACGAATCAACCGTTCTCTTTGAGATGATCTCGTTAAATTAATACATAACGTTTTAAAGCACTGTATAAATCTATGTTGGAAAAAAGAAGATCGGATTACTTGGGCATAGCCCAAATGGTTTGAGTGCGTGTGCTGCTGTTTCATATCGGTTAAAAATAAGATTAGTTGTGTGCATATAAACTCTTGATCACTCCTTCTCTTGTAAGTTGATTTTTAGGGATAAGTTTTATACACGAGTTCATAACAGTGTGCCTAAAAATCCTTGATTTTTTCCCAAACATAATCAACGTCCAGGGAGGAGCCTAAAGAAACCAAATTCAGTCTTCTTTTTCTTTATATGCAACTGACAATTAAATCAGACCGTTTCATACTACCCAGCTTGGGATTTGGGGTACTAGCCAGCTCACATGCTGTTTCTAATCCAACCGTAAAAAGTGTTGGCTATTTGTTACTCAGATTAGAGAAAAGAATTATAAAAATAGAATAAAAATGTGAGTGCATAAAAGTCTTTGTAGTATAGTGGTAAGTATTTCTGTTTGTCACGCGGACGACCCAGGTTGGATCCTCGAAAATGGAGATATACTTTCTGCACGTATTATAAATTTGATATTTTCTTATGTTTGTTCATCAGTTTAAATTTATGAGCACACTATTATATCATAGTGATTCATTTTGTGTTGAATGAACGTTATGGTTGCACTCCATCTNATTTATGAGCACACTATTATATCATAGTGATTCATTTTGTGTTGAATGAACGTTATATGGTTGCACTACATTTNTCATCAGTTTAAATTTATGAGCACACTATTATATCATAGTGATTCATTTTGTGTTGAATGAACGTTATGGTTGCACTACATTTATCTGTTTGCTCAAATGCCACAACGAGCTTTGGATTTGTGGCATTGTAAATTAAAGTAAATTATACTTCACGGGGAGGGAGAGAGAGAAAGAGAGGCTGGCTATTGTTTTTCTTTTTATGTGGTTATTTTTTCACCTCATATAACTAAAATCCCTAGCAACACTCTCGTTAACAGGTTCTTAAAGGGGCAACTATGAAATTACCCACCACACTGATGGGCAATCTTCGTAATCCTCAATTTCCAACTGTCGCTTCTGTCCGTACAATCCCGGTTCAGTTCAGTTACAACTCCATTGACAAACCATCGGACCCGTCTTCTCTGCCAAAATCAACTCACAAGTCAGGACACAACACAATGGTCCTTTGCTCATCAACACCCAACATAACCTTTCTGAAATTTCTCTTTACATAGATTTTCTTGCCCCTTGTACCTTCGTTTTTTTGTTTTTTTTTTTCTTTCTCTTTTCAAGATCTCTCAACAAGGCGGTTCCGCTGAATCGAATTGTAGAAGAAAATGACTGAAGGAAGTCCTAACGACAGGCAACTTGATAAGACACCCACTTGGGCAGTTGCTTTTGTCTGTGCAGTCATGATTCTAGTTTCTATATTGCTGGAGAAAGCTATTCATGGAATCGGAGAGGTAACTGTGGATCATATTTCATTTTAGAGACACTTTCAAAATTTATTTTTAATTCTCCTTTCAGATTTAGATGGGACCAGTTTGTTCATAATTTTTTAGAGATAATGTGATTTTCCCTTTTTAAAGATTGGGTCTATTTTAATGGACTGTAAATGGCGAAGGGGGCAAAAAAAAAAAAAAAAGTAAAAGGGTACGACTCGCAGGTAGGAAGAAGCAGCTAATGAGATTTTTCATATGGTTGTTTTTGCAGGAGAGAATCCTTCCTTCTTTTTTATCTTTTTCAATTTTTTTTGCGTATTCAGTGTATGATTAGTGGTGCTACCACAAAATTTAACAAACAAATAAAAAATGATCACTGGATTGGAGGCAAACAGGGAAATGTAAATATCTATATTTTTGGTTCCAGACCTTTGGTTCAATGGTACTTCTTATCTTGTAGCCCTTCTCCCCCCCCAAAAAAAATAAATAAATAAAAAATGAACAGATGACCAATTGGATAGCTAAGCCTCGGAAAAGAAACTTGTCAATGCCTTTGTCTTCTTCTCTCTGATTATTCTTGTTTCTCCTCTAGAAAGTAGCAAGTAATGTTCTAAGTTGGTGGGGCACCCTGAATTGGTTTGGCATGGAGCAAGTTGGAGGCAGCTTTGTATTGATCTGATTATAAACATTTTCAACTCAGGTTTGAGTCTGGAAAATTGGAAGAAAAAACATCCTAGAAAGCTGTATTAAACACTGGAAGATTTTTGGGGAAAAAAAAAATCAATCTCAAGTAACTTTGCTTCTTTATTTTTGCCTTGTGGTTTCTCCGTCATCTCTAATGATTTTTTGGTTTCAGTGGTTTCACAAAAAAAACAAGAAACCTTTGTTTGAAGCTCTCGAGAAGATCAAAGGCGGTAAGCACTGCAACTTCTCAATTTTTCTCCAGCAGCAATACCTTTACTGGACATGTTTCTCAACTTAGATGGATCACAATTTTTTCTCAACTGTCTTTTTAGTGATTCGCTCTTGGTGACCCAACTTCCTCTTCCTCATTGACTCTTGCAGAGCTTATGGTTCTAGGATTCATATCCTTACTTCTAACATTCGGGCAGAATTACATTACCAAATTATGTATTCCCTTAAAGTTAGCAAACACCATGTTGCCGTGCCCCTTGAATAAGAAACACGAGGCCCCAACAGAAGATAAGGGTGCAGGAGAACATCATCGGAGGCTTCTATGGAATGAGCATAGAATCTTAGCAGCAGATAGTCTCTCAAAAGAGTGCAAGCCTGTAAGTGTTTTTTTTGCTAGTTATTTTAGATTTTAATTTCAGTCTTCTTTGTTTAATTTAAGAAAAATGACAGGAACAAGCTTAATCTGGTCATTCGTATCTTATAACTATCTGATTATCTGCTTAAAACATCCACTTCAAGGGAACATAGCCGTGAACTCCTATGAAGTATGACAAATAGGTTTTGATAGCGAGCACATAAAGATAAAAACCTCTTAGTCTGCTTCTTTGATCAACGACTTCATGAAAATAGGTGATTGTAACCAGTGCACAAGCCTCTGCGGAGCCTGGGAGAAATAAGTCGTATGCATCCTTATTTCATCAAACCAAGACCTTTCCCTCTATTTCTATACTTTCTTTGATTTTTTTTTTCTGTTTTTGAACCTCCTTTACAAACTTTATGGTTACATATATGTTTGCCTCTTAGATCCATCCTGAGGAGATATTATGTCTAAATTTTGTTTGAAGACTCTTGAGAAGGTTGAAAATGACAAGAAAGTCATACAGTTATGAAACTTCGTCAATGACAAAACTCTAAGCAAAAATCTTAATTAGAGGAATGTGATTTTCATGGAATCAAATCCTGTAGGAGTTGAATCATTTTTCTTTTCTTTTGGATGCATGATTCTTAATGATGAGAGCATCGAACACAAGGATTATGAAACATCATTATGATAAAGGTATAGATACACTTAAAAGTACACAGGTGTTAGGTTCAAGTCTGTCAACTCCCTCCATATCCATTTGGCCACTATTCTGTGGGTCTGTGTCCTCTCAGTCTAGTAAGTTTCAGTTTTGAATTTGTATGCCTTCCCCATTCAAGAAGGGGGGTCACACTTGAAGGTGTGAGAACATACATTTTAGGCCCACTCCTCAACAGCTTGCACTTTAAAGCAACTGATTGTCTTGGTTATAGGAGGTCTTGGGGTTCACGTCTCCATCTCTTCATTTAGTTTTCTGTTCTGTTTTTCTATTTACACTGCGTGAATGTAGTTTTCTGTGGTTTGGATGCCTCTCTACGTGCAAGAGGGGGTTGTATATGAGGGAGGATGCAAGACTCGAGAACTCAATGTATATTGATGCTCCATTCCCCAAGGGTCATAAATTTTATCGTAGGTGTTTGTCTAAGAGTTATGCGAGGACTATAGCTGGTTTGGGAAAGATCCTATTTTAACAGAAAGCATGCCTGATTTTTCAAGACACAGTTGACTACATCTCAAGCTGTCATTACTTACTTTTTCTCCTGTAATATCTCTTCAACAAAACATATCTGCAAACCTAAAATACCATTGGAAGGTATGTGGTCCACAAGAATGTTTGTAGTGTGGTTTGGTGTCTCTTCAAATCAAATCTGTGTTCTAATAGAAAGTTAAAAAATTGGTATCTACTCTCTGACTGAATAATGCCTACCCTTTGTTGCCAAGTTGTAACGCCTTAGTTTTGTCCTTCTTAATTTGTTTATGTCTCCATCACTTGACAATGTATTGTATTCAAGTTCTTAACTAACAAAATTTCTTGTCAATAGGGAACTGTGCCGCTCATAAGTGTCAGTGGATTACATCAACTACACATCTTCATATTCTTTTTGGCAGTGTTTCATGTTATTTATAGTGCCATAACAATGCTGCTTGGGAGATTAAAGGTAGTATTTTTTTAGTGCTTTTGCTTTAATACACTCAAAAAGTTTTATCATTTCTAAAAAGAACTGTGTGATGCAAGTGGGAATGGCATTTGATTCTGATATTTGATTTTTTCAGCATGATTTGTATTTAAAGTTGTCATTTAATGTTTTCTTAATATGCAGATTCGCGGGTGGAAAGAATGGGAGCGTGACATAATTGATTATGACTATGCAGTCTCCAATGGTATGTTTTTTTGATGAGAACAATAAATCTAATGTTTGTTTGTATCTTGATATTTCATAGGTAAATAAATAACTTCACTCGTGAAATTTCTGTTAGTAAATTACGGGTGATTTTGTGTGTGCCTACAATGCAGACCCTGCAAGATTCAGGCTTACAAAGGAGACATCTTTCGTGAAAGGGCACACCAGTTTCTGGACCACAACACCAGTCCTTTTTTATGTTGTAAGAACAATGAATGATGTTTGCTAATGTGTTCAAGTTGTCTTCAACAAAATGAACTATGAGACTGAAGGCATATAGGGTGTCAATGTTTTTCCTTAAGCGAGGTGGGAGATTTTATTTCTGCCTGAGGGAGTGTAGGTGGGCGGGTGAGTATTTGGTGGGGGGAG